GTCTCCACCTGGGCGCATATCTGCTCGAGAGAGGTGCGCGGGGCCTGCGTGGTCTGATGCCCGGCCGGCAGCTCTCTCAGTTGATGTGCCACGGCGGCTAGGAGTTGTTCTGCGCTGTTGGCCACTTGTGCGGCTGCGGACCCGGGGGCGGGGCCCGGTGCTTCCAGAAGCCCCACTGCTCGTTGAGCGCGTTCGGCGGCTCTCTGGCAGATCTGGGCCGCAGCTTGCGCTGAGGGGGGGCGCTCTGGCCCCGGTCCTCCCATGGAGTCTACTGGGGCCCACCCGATGCGCACTCCGCAGTCTCGGCAGGCAGCCCCCCGTCCGTGTTGGTTCCCGTAGTACCTCAGATTGTCATGCGGACAGGGGTTCGGGTGGTCCTCGGCGTTCTGCAAGCTCTCGGCCGCCGTGGCGTCCAGCTGCATCTGCTCGGCCTCGTCTGGCCGTCCAACTGCTGGAGGCGGCGGGATCTTGGCAAGTGGCGGCAACGTCCGGCCCTGGATGCCCGCTGGCGGTGGCTTCCCCGACGGCGCCGTCTTGAGCGGCGGCGACGCTGCTGTGGCTGGCGGCGGATGGTTGGGTAGAGGAGGGCCTGCTGGAGGCGGAAAGCTCGGCGGTGGCGGCTCTGCCGGCAGCGGGCCCGCCGCGCGCAGCTGCTGCCGGCGCTCCGCCGCTGCTGCTTGCGCCATCTGAAACGCTCCTGGCGTGGGCCGACGGCGGCTTGGTCCCAGGCTCTGAGTCGGGGATCGGGGGTCGGTCTCCGTTGCCGTCGGACACCGCTCCAGACCCCGCCGCTCCTAGCCACGACACTATCGTTACCCTCGCGCTCTACGCGCGTGAAAGATCTGGGGCCGATCTTGGTGAGTCATAATCTCGGAATGGCTCGATACAAAATGGTTGCGGAAAGCAGCCATTGGCCGCGAGCTGACTTTTGAGTCGCGGTGCCTTCAAGGGTTCCCTCCTGGGCCTGGTGCGGATGTCCTTGGGGCCTGATCGGGATGTGCTCTCGGCCTGCTGGGGCTTTGATCGGATTGGAATCGCCGTTCTTCGGATCGGAGACCTGTGTCCTAATCCGATGCTTCATGGTCGCTACGGCCCCGGCTTGTTCTCGCCTCGCCCCTGCTACCTCTTCCCCCACTGCCAGTCTCCTCTGAGCGATGGTGGTGATGTTCTCCTAGATGCCCTCTAGGTTCCCCAGGGCCTCGCACGTCAAAATGTGGATGGGACCGGCGACGACGATCGGGAAGAAAATGATGATGGAAATAAGGGTGATGATGTGCTTGGCAGCCCCCCGGGCGGATCCATCCGGGCTCATCTTTAGCGGGCGCTGTCCCGCGGCAAGCAGAAGGAACTGACCGTCAAAAAATGATGAGCCAACAGTGCACTGGCTGGCGCTCGAGTACGAGCGCGCAGCGGCGAGACTATGTCCGCCATCCTGTGTCCCGACGCCAGCTTGGTGAGGGGGGCTGCGAGCTCGAGCTTCCGCGCTCGCTTGCTGTTCTCTGGCGGGTCGATCACGCGGCCTAAGATGTCGAGCAGGTTAACGCTGATGATGCGTGGCGCGTCCTCTTCCAGCACGGTCGTCTTGATCACTCCCATGGTGCCTCCCAGGGTCATGGGGGAGAGGGTGGTAGCGATGGGCTTCGCGGCGCCGCCGACTCCGCGGGCCTGGCGCGCTGCTCGGTGATCCAGTGGCACCGCCACGTAGGTGAGTCCTGGTCGCGCCAGCTCAACTGCTTCACGATTCAGAGAGTCTCTGCCCACGAGGTCGCTACCAGCGCCCGGATCCACGAGCCCCTGACTCGGTCTCGACACGAGGTAGATCTCATGGATCTGCCCCTTGACTTCCTTCAGCGTCGCCGGCAGTTCCGACGAGGGCTCCGGCGCGCAGCCCGAGAAGGAGTAGGATACCATCTGGCGATCCTTCTCGCTAGCCGAGCGATTCGGGCACCCCCTCGACCAGTAGCCCTCCTCGTCAAAGAGTCGGCACCTGGTCGCCTTGATCACCTCCTCGATCGGGACTCCAGCGAACTTGCGACGCCGTGGCTGCCCGCGACCTCGGCCTCGGCCTCGGCCACGTCCCTTCGGGGCTGACGGAGTAGGGGAGGGTCGGTAGTCTCGGTCCTTCCCGCTGCCGTAGAACTCCCGATCACGTTTGGCAGCCCTCTGGAGATCCTTGTTCTCTTTACATGTGCACCTCCGTACTCCGGCGAGGTAGGATTCCGCTCCTTCCTCGTCCAAGTCCAGCTCTTCGAACTCGGCTTGAACCGGTGCGCGCGACGTCGGCTGACGTGTAGCCCTCGGAATCATCGTCGGAGTCTCCTGGGTCGTCGTCATCCGGCTCTCGCTCTGCCGGACCAGGGGGCCCAGAGGCCAGGGGAAAGGAGTGAGAGGGGTCTGCCGCGGCGCCTTCGGCCTCTGTCGGGCCTTCGGCTGGAACAACAGCGTGCGACGAGCGGCCAGGCAGCAGGCGCTCAGAAGTCGTATAGTCCAGCTGTCTCAGAGCCCAACATGCGCTCGCGAAGTGAAGATCCCCGCGAGTCAACGTCCGAAGAATCTGCATTCCTTGTCCAGATAACGCCACACCCTCCTCCATCATGAAGCCCTTGAATTTGTCTGAAATCCCAAGGTCACTGCTCTCGGCCTCCCTGAATTGTCGTTCTGCCCGATCAACGAATGCTTGCAGATATTCCTTGGCGACGCGGTTGCTTTCAAACAGCGCTTTGCGGCCGATGCGTCGGAGATCATCTCCTTCGCGTTCGCTGATCATTCGGTCTAGGCGCCCGAGTAGGAGCTCCAAACACCTGGAACTCTCGAGCTCCGAGTCGGGAGTATCTTCAAATTTCTCCTGCATCGACCAGTCGAAGAGCTCGAAGAACTTTTCGTGGCGCTTCCACAACGGGACGTCGGTATACCTATTCCAGCGCTCCATAGCGCGCTTCCCGTTGCGAGAATTCAGCCAGCCCGGCCAGCTGGGGGTCCGCGTAGTCGTCTTTTCCGGACCACTAACCCCATTGCCACGAGCTGTTCTGATGCTTCGGATCGTCCCAGTCGTGGTCCCAGGTATTATCTTTCCACCACTTGTCTGGCTGAGCTGTCGTAGGACCCATCGTCCAGGGATCGCTCTCTTGCCAGAGGTCCGCTGCAGTCGAGCCCGAAGCTCCCGTAGCAGGCAATACCGACTTCACGATGTCCCTCATCTCTGCTGCTCCAGCCTCAGACCCCGCCGCGACGGTTCCTGGCGCTGTCACTGCTCCTGCGGCCGGCCGCCCAGCGTCTGCTCCCGCAGCAGATGCACCCGGCAGCGCGGCGAAGGCCTCTTCGCCCAACATCCGTGGATCTCCCACGCACACAACGGCTCTCTGGAGACGGCGAGTGCCCTCAGAGCCCGTGAGCGTCGCCGCCAGCACGCTCCATCGCGCGCGGGCGAACGCCCGTGGCCCTGGGCCCACACCGCTCCGCTACAAACTGCGGCAGCAGGAGCGGCAGCGAATGTTTTTTTCCACTTGGGCCCAAACAAGAATCTGGATCGCAAATCCCACTGGGCCCCCACGAGACCTCATGGGGCCCTTGTGAGGAGACCACAAACGCTAAGCCTAGAACGGTACGAGAGGCCAGTATCCACAACTGTCGTGATCACGGGCTCCGTATCAGTCGGCGAGTTGGCGACGACCAGTGGCTCAATCGGGCAGTTCGTCACAATCGGGCGTTTCTGCAAGCTCGGTGCCGTGGTCCGTGGCGCCATCGCCGTGGCGCTCAGATCGCTTTTAGGCGGGCCTCCCGCTTCTTCCCCCGCCTGGATACGCTCCTCATGGCGCGGCGAGGCGGCGAGGGTGAGCACAGCGTCCAGCGTTCCCGCCAGCTCGGCCTCCTGCCAATGCTCCGCGGCGGCGGAGTCGGCAAGCGCTCGCGACGTGTCCGGGGAACCCCCGCGGGCGACGGGGAGTCCCGTGGCCCACGCTCCCGTCAGCTCGGCCTCCTGCCAAGGCTCCGCGTCGGTAGAGACGGCGAGCGCGGCTGGGGTGGCCGAGAACCCCCGCGGGCCTCCGCGAGCGCCGCCTCTGTGCTCCGGATCTTGCGCTGGAGCATCATGAACTGCAGATGCGGCGGCAGCCGCTGCAAGCTCGACTTCTCGTACTCCTCGTGCTCCTGGCTGTCCGGCTGCTGCGGGCTCGCCTCCGAGCTCTGTTGGAACGGCCAGAATTCTGCCGCAGGCTCCTGCTTGATGTCCCGAACTCCACATTTTGACAGCGGACCGCCCTCTATCCGCGAGGCTATGGCAATTATTTTAAACACATGTGCGCGGCGCTAAGACGATAATCAGATCTTGAAAACGGAGCACCCTCTATCTGTGAAGCTCTTGCATGCTTCAAAGCAAGTTTGCCCTGTGTGCAACATTTTGGAAGCGACCCGCCCTCCATCCATGAAGCTCTTGCGAATTTCAGCTTGAGGATCATACACGGTGAGAAGTCTCAGGCGAAACGCCCGGCCCGACATACAGACATGCCTCGGGGGGATGGAGAAGGAAAAGGAGGAGGAGGATCAGGTGAAGAAGGGGGTGGGAGGTGCGAGGAGGATGAGGAGGAGGATGAGGGGTCCTCTCCTCCTCCTCCTCCTCCTCCTCCTCCTCCTCCTCATCCTCCTCTTAAGCGAAACGTCTAGAACACATCCCCGCAGGGCGGCGCGGCGGACCACCCCTGAGACCGCCAAAGATAGCCGTATCTTCCCCAACTTCCTCAATTCCACTCCTCTTCCTTCTCCTCCTCCTCCTCCTCCTCCTTCTCCTCATCCCACTCTTTCCCCGCCTTCCTCTGCTCATGCCTCCCGTCCCTCCACCCCCGCCGCCCCCTCGGCCTCCTCTCGTTTGTTCCTAACGGTGCTGCTGTTGTTGCTGGTCATTATAATCCATGTCTTCCTTCCCACCCTGCTCTTCCTTCATCCTCCTCCCCCTCCTCCTACTCTCCCCTGCCCCCCTCTCGTTCTGATCATCCAGCCGCCGAAGCCTGGACCGACACGCCCTCAGTAACTGCCTGACGGGAGGCGGGGGGAGGAAGGGGAGAGGAGGGGAAGGAGAGGGGAGGTAGGGGCTGGAGGTGAGAGGACGGGAGAGGAGGGGAATGAATGGAGGGGAAGTGAAGAGAAGGCAGGCAGGGAGGCGGGAGGAAGGAAACGGAGGGCAGAAGAAGGAAGGCAGAAAGAGGAGGGCGGGGAGGGGGTGAGGAAGAAAAACACTGGAATCCGGAGGTTGGAACACTAACCTCTGGAGGTTAGGCTTTCCTACCCCAGAACCTCCTAATGCAGAGGGGGAAGCATAAACAAACATAAGGAAACAAGGCAACCAGAGGAAACCAGAGAAAAAGAGGTTAGGGCTTCCTGACTCCCAGAACCTCCCAATACGAAGAAAGAAACATAAACACACATAAGGAAGCAAGGCCAACCCGAGGGAAACGACGAACAACAAAGAGAGGGAAATTAGAGCACCAACCAGCGGAAAATATGGCTTCCCGCCGCCCCGCGCCGTGCCATGCTTGACCTTCAGACTGAGAATGACGCAGTGCCGTGCCGTGCCTGATCGACGGCGACGGCGACGGCGACGAGTATGGTTTCGTCTGACGGCGACGACACAGACGATGATGACAGCGGCGGCGGCCGCGACGACGACGACGGCGACAGCGACGAGTTCGACGACCACGACGGCGACGACGAGGACGTCGACCACGAGGACGAGGAGGACATGCGCTCTCGCCCCATCGCTGGCCAAGGCCTGGTTCTTTCGCCGCTTCGACGGCGCATTACATTCGGCTTGTCACTGTGTCCAGGCAAGTTCCGCAGACGAGCGGAAGGTGGGTGCCGGGTAGCTGACGAGGTCGCTAAGACTATGCCTACTGGGAGGTGGTCTCGATGGCCCGATTTCTTAATGAGCGATAACCTCTTCGCTATGCCCCTGAGGACGGTGCGCTCCTGAACCACCGGGAGGGTTCCTCGAGGAATCAGGATGTGGTTTGTTTTGTACCTGTGCCCTTGGCCGAGTAATAGGTTGGTTCGCAGTCGTGGCATGTCGTAGCCACGCTCAAATCACGCCCTTCACACAATTTCATGATAGCTGTACCGTTTTCATTCTCTATCCCATTGCAATGCTTCCCCATTGCTGTGCTCACTGCGCGCGCTACTTTCCCCTCTGACCCTGTGCGTACCGAATTGTGTATTCAGGTCTAGGGTGGTCCTCGTGCCTAATCGTTACACACATGCTCCAACCAGCTGGTCACTTTTTTTGCCTGACCACTCCGTGCTGCTTGTAGTGCATATGTGGCAAGAAATTGACAACACCGCTATGTCACATACTTTGGTCGCTATGCGCCGTCCACTGACCCTTCCATGGGTTTCAGCTGGGGGGAGAACATCCTTCGCGCGTCTCGTTCGTCGAATCCGTCGCTCCGCAAAGGGATTGTCGCCCCACATACTTTACTGATCCAGCTTCCCTTCTTCCCCCCCAACTGCATGCGGCTCGGGGCACGCCCGCTCGTGCGTGCCCGAAAGACGGATGATGCCCCAGTCTCGTAGTTCCGAGCCGATGTCTTCAAGTCGGTCGTTGGAATTCGCTGCCAGTGGGCTGTAGCACGCTATCCTCATTGCCAGCAGGAGAAGCACCGTGCCCTGTAGTCTTATCCTGCTCAATCGCAGGAGGTGCATAGTTACTGCATCATCTCCCTCCCCCCTGGTCCTCATACGGGCCTGTGTAGCTAGGAGGGCGCCCTGGCTTACGAACATCGAGTCTGTACTGGGCAAACCATGTCTGTAATCGTCGAAGGCCCCGCCGCCGTCCTCGACGCCGAAGGTTGTGGAGTCACACGGGGTTTCACAGGGTTTTGTGTAGCCTGGCTCCCTTGTCTGGGTTACGAGCTACAGATATCACCCTCTCTCACTCTTTCTCTTTGTTCAGTTTTTTGTATTTCTGTTGGTGCCTCTCGGTCTCTCTCTACCTGTTTCTACCTCTTTCTCTGTCTCTCTCTCTCTCTCTCTCCCTCTCTCTTCTGAAGCTATACCATCAATCGGCTAGCCTCCTCACTAAAAAACTGCCTGTCAACTTCTATTCAAAAAACACTATAATACTACTCCGTTGGAAAACCGACTGGGGGGCTTCTATGGCAAACCGTCACAATACAATCCCTTTGGAAAGCACAGCAGAGATATTATGTCCTCGCAACAGGAGTCCGCTGGGAATTATTACTGAAAGATCTATTGGACAGCCTCATAGTCGGATCCATGTGAGAAGCACGGGTGCAGGTTCTTACTGTAATGCATCACAAGAGGAATCCTTGGGAAAACGGCACACAGAGAGTCTACTGGAAAGCTTCACATCAAGAACCCTTTGGAACGCGCAACAGAAAAGGACTCTATTGGAACGCCTCGCACTCGGAACACTGTGCGAAGTGCGACACAAGGACTCCAATGGATTGCCTCACAGCAGGAACCCTTTGGACACTGTTTCAACCACATTCTTATAGACACGCTTATATTTGTAATCCTTTCGAAAGCGCTCCAGAAAGACTCTACAGGGAACACCTTACAATTCGAATCCTGTGGACAAGGATCTAAAAGACTGTATCGGAAGGCCTCACAGCATACATCCTTTGGACATTGGAGCGCTCACAACAGGAATCCTTCGGAAACCACCCCACATTGTTTTGATGGCCTCGCAACAATAATCAACTTTGAACCATTACAACACATCCTCTTGGAAACCATCATAAACGAAACCGTTGGGAAAACACGGATGGTGGCGTTTATTGGGAAACATCACGAACGGAATCACGCACCATAAAGATATTCTATGGGAACACACCCCAATCGGAAGAAAACGGAAGACATAACAACGAGGTTCTAGTGGAAAACCTCACAACAGGAATGTTTTGGAAACCGCCCAAACGGCGTTCGATTGGAACACCTAGCGACAAGACTCTTTTGGAAAACAGCACACTGGAAAACCCAACAGCAAGGATCTTGATGGAAAATACCACACAAGGGTTCCATGGGAAATCGTCACATTCGATTGTTTGTTTTGGAACGCGCCGCAAAAGAGGTTCTATTCGAAAGCATCACAGCAGGAGTCCTTGGAAAGCACCACACTGATATTCTACTGGGACGCATCACAAAGGAACCCTTTGGAAATCACAACAATCAATCGATTAGAAAGCGCCACGATCGGAATCCATGGGAAAGCGTTCCACAGAGTTGCTAGTGGAAATCCTCACAGCAATAATCCTTTGGAAAACGCCATAAGGGCATTCTAGTGGAAACCGTAGCAATGGGACAAATTGCGGTAAACACCACAAACAAGACTCGATGGGAAAGCCCAACATCGGAAAAACTATTTGAACCACACAACTATTAGACTATTAGAGAGCCGTTCGGAAAAAAAGGGATCCATCGGAATACACAACAAAGGGATCACATTGGGAAGCCTCACGACAAGAATACTTTGGATAGCGCAGCGGAGGGGTTTCATCGGACAATTTCGCGACAAGACTCCTTTGGAAAACGCCACGCGAAGATTCGACAAAAAAACTTCGCAACAAAAATCTTTTGGAAAACGCCACAGACGGATTATACGGAAACACCTCACAGTGGGAATCCTTTGGAACGCGCTGCGAAAGAGGTTATATTGGAAAGCGTCACAAATGAATCCTGCGGAAAACACCACATGAAGATTACACGGGAATCGTCGCGAAGAGGATTCCGGTGGAAAACACAACAAAGAAAGCCACCCATATCGGAATCCATTGGAAAGCACCATAGAGAGTCTCTATTGGCAAATCTCCACAGAAAGTCTCTATTGGCAAATCTCATACAAGAGTATTTGAAACACCGTACGTACCACCCCGGCACGAGGACGGAGCTGGACCTGCAGGAGCGGCCAGCCTGGGACGAGGTGGCAAAAGATGTGCACGCCAGGCTGATGCACAGGGTGCGCGAGGGCTGGCGCTGGTGGAACTGGCAGAAGTTCAAGCGCCAGAGGAGGAGGGACGTGGCCCAGATGCAGGGCGTAGAATACGACGAGGGTCCGCGTGAAGCTCGCCAGGGAGGCGGCGAGAGACGGAGCGGGGACGAGGATGCACGTGATGTGCGGGTCCTTCCTGTCGCCGCTGGCGGCGAAATCGGCGGGGCGGGGAAGTTCGACGAGGTATGCCGCTGCGTGTGGCCTGGCTGCGACGCAGACTTGCCAGACCGGGACCACATCGTGTGGGGATGCGCGTGCCGACCTTCGCGGGCCCCCGACAGGCGAAGGGACGAACTGCAGGCGCGGTGGGGCTGGCCAGCGGGACACAGCTGGGAGGAGGACAGACTGATCCTGCGCTGGATGGAAGAGGTGGCGGAGCGCACCTGGGACGCCAGGTATCCGGCCCGACAAATGCAAACGCCAAGGGGGACAGCGAGGACGAACCCGCCGGGGGGCGACGAGGCGGACGACCTCCTAGAGGACGAGGCAGAGCTGCAGCGCCAGCAGGGCGAGGAACCCGAGGAGGCAGAGGAGAGGGAGAGGGCTCGCGACGAGGGGCGAGGAGGCAGAGGGAGAGACAAAGCAGGAGGAGGAGGAGGCAGAGGCTGGGGTGGGGGCGCCCGCACAGGCAGATCCCACTGGGGTAGGTGGCACCCGCACAAGCAGATCCCACCCGGCGAGAGGAGGTAGAGGGGGCGGGGAAACACCCGCACAGGCGGACCCCGCCAGCAAAGAAGAGGACGACGAGAGCAAAGGGAAACGCAAAGATGCCCGGGATGGAGAAACGGAAGAGGCAGAGGACGAATGCAGGGAGGAGGACGAGAAGGGTGAGGAGGGCGCAGAGGAATCTGTGGAGGCGGCAGGGGAGGAGGAGGCGGAGGAGGGTTTCACCCCTGGAAGGTGTTGACTGTCGGGTGGTCTCGCTATGTCGTGTTGCTGCTGTTCGTTAGCGGCCGCGGCATGTACAACGCTTTGTGTTTGAAGCACCGCAACGGCATTTCCAATGAACCCCGCCACAATGGGACCCCTTGTGGAAAACGCCACAACGGGATTCGATGGGGAAACATCACATCGGAAACCCGTTTGAAAATACCACTGAGGGCTCGGACTAGAAAGCCGCACAGACAGGGAACCCACCGGAAAACACCACAGAAGGATTCAATTGGGAACCCCTGCGATAATAATCCTTTGGGCAGCGCCGCAGAGGGATCCGATTGGAAAGCCTCGCGACAGGACCCTGTTGGAAAACACCACACAATGATTCGACTGGAAAAGTTCGCAACAAAAGGCCTTTGGAAAACGTCACACATGGCTTATACGACAAATCCTCACAGCGGGAACCCTCTGGAACGCGCAACAAAGGCGTTCAATTGGAAAGCATCACAACGGGAACCCTTTGGAAAACTGAACAACGGGATTATGCTAGGAATCATCACGAAACACACATTGAAAGGCACAACAAAGAAATTCTATTGGAAAGCCCAACAATCGGAATTAATTGGGAAGCACCGCGCAGAGATTCGATTAGAAAACCTCACAACAAGAATATTCTGGAAAACGCCACAACAGCTTTCTATTTGATTTTTTGACAGTGGGGATCCATCGAGAAGCACAACAACATTTCATTATGTGGACAACGCCACGCGAAGGATTTGTTGGAAACCGCGCAGAAACAGGAATCGATCGGAAAGCACAACACAAGGGATTATATGAGAAATCCGCACAATGTGACCCCACTGGGCAACACCCCGAACAATGTTTCTCCACCCCACCCACCACACCAAAACGAGCAGCATACGAAACAAACCATTGGTTGTTCCATATATGGTTTCTCCTTTTTTGTCGGGGATGGGGGGGGAGACACAACAACAGTTTTGCTTCCTTTAGAGGGGGGAGGAGGAGGAGGAGGAGGAGGAGGAGGAGGAGGAGGAGGAGGAGGAAGAGGATGCTCCCTTTTTCCAGCTCGGGCAGGCCAGGTGGCGAGGATTCGAGACGCTGCCGACGCAAGAGGCTGCCGCCACGGATCTCCGATCCGTAGGCGGCCACGGACAACAACTGAAATTTCGGACACACCACACCCTGGCAAAGGTAGAGTGAAAGCAAGGGGGGGAGGGGGGGAGCTTGAGCGAAACGTCAACGGAAGATCGCAGACGGGCGGCCAGCGACGCTTCCCAAGGAGCAACCCTGTTCGGAGAACGACTTATGCTCCCTTTTTCCAGCTCGGGCAGGCCAGGTGGCGAGGATTCGAGACGCTGCCGACGCAAGAGGCTGCCGCCACGGATCTCCGATCCGTAGGCGGCCACGGACAACAACTGAAATTTCGGACACACCCAAAATGCTGCAAAATGCACAGCTAGACTGGCAACGCCGGAAATACAACAATTGTTAATCAAGCGTCGGAAGACGTTCCGCAGCACGCCCTATCAAAACGGAGAACTGATTAGCCCGGGACCTGGCTTTCTCGTCGGCATAGGCTCTGGCGAGGGTGCTGCAGAGCTTGCGAGGATATGCCTCCGCCAATCTAGTGCGGAACCTGCCCGACGCGTCTTTGCCGGACAGCTCTTGATGCCGCTGCCCAGTGAGGACACAGACGGGCCCTGTACATCTGAATTTGGCCAAAGGTGCCAAGTCGAGGAGAAACGCAGCTATCCTGGTGCTCTTCCTCCAGGGCGCCCCGAACCGGCAGTGCTCGAGCACCTGGGTCGTGACCTGCCGGCGCTGGAGCAGGGACAGCATCGGCGGCAGCTGCCGCGCGCAGCTCAGCGCGGGGTTCTCGACGGACCAGGGGACGAAACACTGGCAGCACAGCACGCGGAAGGATATCGTGAGCCGCGCGTACAGGTTGCCCCACTTCACCTTCTGGAAGTCGGCGCCCTCGGGATGGAGACTGGGCAGGCCCCAGACGTGCTCCTGGGACCGGAGCCGCGGAGGCCCGTTGGGGCGGTCTCGCGCCCGCGAGAAGGTCTCGCAAGGAAAGCCAGCATGCAGGCCGCAGACGAGCCCCGCCCGCATCCACCCTCGAATGAGGCGGGCGCTCCTGGGGTTGCGCAGGTCGTAGGCGGGGCCGTACAGGATGTCCCACCGCAATGTGGGGACATTTCCCCGCTCCATGGCATCGGGCAGGTGGCCCGAGCCCGCGAACAGCTCGAGGAACACGGCGACGGTGGGCGCCCTCAGCGGCCCAAAGACGGCATCCGCCTCCCCCGCAGCGCGTCGGGGAGCTCCTGAGCGGCCGCCGCGGCCGCCCGCTGCACGTCGGGCGGCAGGCGGCGCAAGAGGTCGGCCAGTCGCCCCCCGTGCTCGTAGCGGCGGAGGCTCCGCGCGGACCGCCACCGCCCGCGGCGCTGGATCTCCTCCAAACGTCGGGCGCCGGTCGCGAAGTCGACGCTCGCCCCCGTGTGCCGGAAGCGGTAGGCGTCGAGCGGCCCGAGGGGCCCCAGGCGCCAGGCAGCCGCGGCCTCGTCCAGGGCCCGGCGCAGGGCGCTGGGCGTCAGATCCAGCAAGGGCCCGCCGCCGCGCTCCAGCCCCAGCTGCACCAGGGCGTCTGCGAGCGCCGCCTGCCGGTCGAGGTCGAGGACGATCGTCTGGTCGAACTCCTGGCTCTTGGACGGGGTCCGCATCTCGAACGGGTGGAGCAAGACCGATGTGGGGGTCCACTCGCGAGCTCCGCTGAGGGACCCCGCCACTACGTCGCGGCCCCGTAGCAGGAACGGCTCTCCTGGCCGCAAGTACATCTCCATCATCATGAGAATGGCCAGCGCGTGGGGTCTCAGCCCCTGGCAGATCATCCAGCACGCCAGCAGCGCCACCACGTCGTAGGGCAGGGGCAAGCGGCCCCCGGCTGGGGCAGCGCGGCGCCAGCCTCGCAGACACTGTCGACAGACGGGCGTCCGCCCGCCCCCCAACCTGCCCAGGCGCGGCTCGGCCCACTGCACCGACGCCAAGAGCTTCTCCCCCGCGCTCAGCGAGCCGCCCTCCATGAACATGATCTCCATCAGGCCCGCGGTGGCGATGTCCCACTCCTCCTCGGTGTTCGGGTGGTCCCCGCGGGAGTCGCAGAACCTCTGCAGGGCGGCCAGGTAGAGGGAGTACTGGGCCTGCGTCTTCGCCGACACCGAGGCCCTCCGGAGCAGGCTCATCTGGGCCTGCGGGGCCCGCGCCGCCGCCAGCCTGGCAGCGCGCTCCACCCGCACCCGCGCCGCGGTTGCCCGCAGGCCCCCAGTCTCCAGGGGGGCCAAGGCCGGGCGGGAGGCCGACCCCGCACTGGGCGGCGGCGGCTGGCGGCCCGCGGGGGTCCTCGATCTGTCGGACCTGCCGCGCGCCAGCATTGCGACCCTCGCCGGCGGCGGTCGCGAGTTCGCGCCGCAGGCCGGCAAGCGGGTCGCTCGGCGCCGGCCGGCCGCGCGAGGGTCCGTCTGCAGGGTTGAGCTCCGACGCGATCCAGCGCGACCGCAGGAGGCTGCCGGTCCCCAGCAGCAGGGCGCCCAGCCGGCGGGTCACCGAGAGCATGCCATCGCAAGACGACCGTCCCTTCGTGGCGGCCAGGGAGGCCGAGATCGAGTCCCCAATCACGAGCAGCCTCGAGCCCAAGTTGGCGACGGACCTCAGGAGGTGGCGCACCCCGTGCAAAAGCGCCTCCGCTTCCAGGGCCGGCATAGACGTCGAGGCCCGTTTCCACCTCTGCCTCCCGCACACCCTCCAGGGAGCCCTCAAGAGGTCCAGGGGGACGTCCTCGAACGCCTTCGTGTGCCGGCGGTCGAACTCGCTTTCGGGACGGTGGTGTCGAGACTGGGGCCGCACGAGCTCCATCAGGATCCGCCTGTCGGCCTCCCCCTCACCCCCGTGCAGCTGCGCAGCGGCCGCGGCGAAGGCGCGCTCGCGGGGAGGCCGCCCTTCCCGGGCCGCCTCCCGAGCCCCAGCACGCTCCGAGTGACGGCAGGCCTCCTTGACCAGGGCCACCGGCGGTCGCCCCCGAACGGCCCCCAGGCCCCACGGCGACGCGTCCACCACGACGACGTCTGGACAGGTACCCGCAGAGGTGTTGACCCAGATGAGCGGGGCGATACGGTCCCAGACGTCGAGCTCCTTTCTGGCCGAGGCCCAGAGGGCCCGAGGCCCCCGGGCTGGGCCTCTCCGCGCGGCCTCACAGAACCTGTAGCAATATTTGAACACGCTGAGCGACTCTCGCCTACACAGGCCGATGAAGGCGCTCCAAGTCCCCTCCAGAGACCGAGGCCCGTGCTAAAAGACCCCGAATGGCGAGACGAGCCTTCCAGACACGCTCGGGGGTCGGGCGGAAGGTGCGCCGAAGGCAATCGATCTCCCACCCCAGCACGATGGCGCGATCGCAAGAGACAGACTCTTTATGCAGCGGCAGCCCCCGAGACTCGAGGGCCCGGGACACTCCTGCCAAGCGTTCGCGAACAACAGCCTCGCTCGTCGAAATCACCACATAGTTGTCTACGTACTGTGCGCGAGGGGAGGAGGCGAGGGGAGGCGGAGGGGAGCCGTCCGCGAGGCGGGCTGCAGCAGGGGATCCTCCCTCCTCGGCAGCCCGCTCGTGGATCGCCTGGCACCGCCATAGGGCCCAGGACCACCCCATGGGCAAGGCGCGCATCCGAGGGGCGACCCAGGTCCCCGGGGACACACGGACCCCCTGGACTTGAGAGATGCCCGCCCACGAGGCCCGAATTCTTCGCAGCCCGAAGTACTGGCGGAGCCCCTCTGGGAGCTCCATGTGATAGAAAGCGTCTTTTATATCGACCTGGCCAATAGACACGGGCTGATCGAGGGAGTCGTCGCCATGCACCTGGGAGAGAGTGTCGCCAGAGACAAGGCTGACAGGGGCGGGCGGCTCGAAATGCTGATTAGACCGCCGACAGTCGACGACCAGCCGCTGCTTGCCGCCCCCCTTTTTCACAAAGAAGCAATCCACCACCTCGGTAGGTCGCTCAAGCGTCAGCTCGGCTACCCCAGCCTCGACCAACCGCTGAACGAATTCGCCGTACAGAGAGGGAGAGTGGAGGCGAGGGTCCCCATAGGGTCGCAGGGGCCCCGAGTCCTTCAACCTCAATCGTGCCACGTCGATGGGCAAAACTTGCGACTCAGCAAAGCGCGCAACAGTACTTTCCCCGCCGGATCCCCAAAGCCGAGCGAGCGGAGTCGGAACCGACCCAGCCGCCGGGAGGGACACGCGGGAGGCTTCGTTGCCCACAGGGCCTCCCCCAGCGTCATAGGGGAGGCCGAGGCGCAGCGCCTGGAGGGCTGCCGCCTGCGAAAGATCATCTGGGGGAGGCCCCAGGAAAGAGACAGAAGACTCAACGTGATCGAGCATACGCTGCTGCCCGAGGCTCAGATCAGCAGGTACAGGTACCCCTTCACGGCGGCCATATATCGTGTTGAGACCTTCTAAGCACCGAAGAACGTCGGCGTGGCGACGCTGCCGACGGCCGACTCTCTGTCGGCAAACTCGCGAGAGCCCAGGTGCTGGTGGCTCCGACGAGTTGAGCAGCTCCGTGGGGAAAGGTAGCAGATCCCTCCCCACGTTCCTGTCAAAATTCCCCGGCGGCGCGACGGCGTGCCGAGCATCCCCAGTCATGTCAGGATCCCCCCCACCAGACCTGAGGGACGTCTGGGGGGGGCGGTCGGGCATCACCCCTGGTCCTTCCCCTGGCCCTGCCTCCGCTTGCCCAGCGACTCCCGAGCCTCGCGCGCCTTCAGGAGGCTCTTGGCCAGCGACGCGTCCCGCTCCAGCTCCTGCTTGGCGCTCTCGAGCAGCGCGGGCGACACCATGAGCCTCGACTCGGCCCGGGCCGTCGCCCCGAAGGCGGCCTGCTCGTCGGCGGTGAGCCTCCCCGCGGAGGAGCCCGCTGTCCTCTCGCGCAACTTGTCGCTGTAGCAGTACTCGATCGTCTGGAGCCGGCGGAACATCATCTCCACCGAAAGGATGTTGGACGCGTCCACCTGATCGTGCTGGAGCAACGCCTTCAGGTAGCTGATCACACTGGCGTACTCCTCCATGCCCCACTGGGAGTCCTGGAGCCCGCACAACTTCTTGAAATGCTCGAAGTGGGACTCGAGAGAGCGGCCCTCGCCCGCGAGGTGCTCGAGGCACCACGTGGTCGTCCTCGGCGCGATGAAGTCGGGGAGGTGCTCCTGGCGGCAGCTCTCGACGAGGTTCTCGAGCGTCCGGAAGGGCCTGCCAACGCGATCGAGGCGGACCGGCAGTAGGCGACAGTCGGGCGCCACCGCCCGGTCGGCGAAGTCCGACTCGTCACCGATGGCCACCCACTCGACGAAGAGAGACGACCCGTCTGCGAGCAAGACGACGCCGCGGGCGGGGGTGCCCGCCCCGGCGAAGCCCGCTGGAGGGATGATCACATCGCCGTAGTGGTACCCCCTCCACTCCTGGGCGACGCGCCAGTTCCCCACGGGGGCGGGGGCGGCGTCGCCAGCGCCACCCGCCAGCACCAGGGGTCGGGCCCCCCCGACCACGGCCGCCGCGAGCGCCGCTCCCGCGGGCGCCGGCGCTCCGCCCGCCTCCCCGCCGCCCGCGGCCGGCGCAGCCCCCGCGGCCGCACCTCCTCGGCGCATCACCCCGCCCGGCAGGGGCGCGGGTGCCGGGGCGACGGGCGCCGCGGCGGGCGGCGGGCCCCCCGCTGGCACCACGACCCATCCTCCGCCCGGCGGCCCGGCGGCGGGGGCCCCCGCGGGAGGGGCGGGCCCGGCGGCGGCAGCCGGCGCCCCCGGCGCAGCCCAGGGCCACGCCTCGAAGACGGGCGCCGGCACGGCCACGCCCGGGTGGCGCCGAGCAAAGCAGCGCCGCGCCTCGGCCTGGGCCTCGGGGAGCCAGGCTGCCACCTCCGCCGCAGTCGGGGCGCTCGCGAAGCGGTAGGCCCGCACGACGCCCGGCGGCCTGGGGGCGAGGGCGGGCGCCCACCGCACCGCGCTGATGTCGGGCGACGTCCCGTCCACTACCTCGCACTGCACCTGGTGGTCTGGCGAGACTAGGATCGCGTCACTCGGACAGGACACCGCCCGACCCAAGTTCCAGCGCTGGTGCCACAGGGGAGCTCCCGGCACCGCATACAGGAGGTACGCCACCTGGTCCACCCCTTCCAATGCGGGCACGGCGTCGGCGGCAGCAGCAGCCATCGCTCCACCTCCCGACGTCGCCGAGCGCGATGCCGATCACGAGCGACGCCACTGTCGTCCCCCAGGCCGCCGCCACCGTCGGGGCTGCGGGCGCCGCGGAGGCGCGCCCCCGCTCCTGCTGCGGGCACTGGGGAGCCGGCGCCCCTGGGCAGGCCGGGCAGGGCGGGACCGCGGGACAGGCGCAGCGGCAGTCCGGGCACTCCAGCGCCGGGCACGTCGGCGGTGGCGGCGCCCGACTCAACCAGGAGGCCACGCCATGCGACAGCTGGGTGAGGGCTCCGACCGCCCACGGGGGCGCCATGCCCCGTGGGAAAAAGCTTGAGCGAAACGTCAGCGGAAGATCGCAGACGGGCGGCCAGCGACGCTTCCCAAGGAGCAACCCTGTTCGGAGAACGACTTAGGAGGAGGAAGAGGAGGAGGAGGAGGAGGAGGAGGAGGAGGAGGAGGAGGGGGATCGGGATCGGGACCGGGCTCATGGAGCTGGGGCGTCTGCTGGATTGCGCGCGAGCGAATGTTCGACGCATCGCCACGCGGGAACTCTGAGGGGACATGTGTTCCTGGCCGCCAAACTTGCGCGGCAGCCTCCGCCTTTGGACGGGGCCGCGCCGCGCCTATAAGGACGACCCCTCGCGCGGCGCGCAGCCAGAGGGGCGCCCTCACAGTGCCGATGAATTGCGCTCTTTCCTAAGAGACGAAGGGCCTCTACAAATCGCGCCCCCCTCCCTTGGCCCCCCGCCCGACCCCCCTACCCCGTCCCCTGGCGCGCGAAAGAGGGCGCAGCTGCAGCGGGGGCCAGCGGGAAGTGAGGGCCGTGGGCCGTGGGGAACGGAGCGGCAGGCGCGGGCAGGCACGGGCGCCTGCCGCGTATCCAGAACATCTGCAGGCGCGCGCCCTGCAGCAACCAGCGGCTTCGAGGCGCCCTTCTCCAACGGTCCGCGAAGTGCTGGGCCCGCAAGACATCTTCGCCCAGCCCGAGAATAGCCGCCCGTAGCAATGAAATAATCGATCTGGCTACCTCGCGATCGCTGTCCAGGGCCATTATCAATCCCCCTGGTTGTTCCGTGTCCGATTTTGAGCATCGGCGTGGTGTTCAGCTGCTTGTTGCGCGCGTCTTTGAACCCCCCGCCCCAGCCGGCGCCCTGCTTCGCGATCAGCATGGTTGCCGACGTGAACATGTGAATGCGAGATTGTCATCTGAACGTGAAGTCTACGGCCTCGCATGTATTCTTCTTCTTATTCTTCTTCTTATGTTTATTCTTCTCCTCCGCGAGCTCACGCGACGGCTCCTGGCATCGGCGCCCCGCCCCTCCCATCGCGCCCGTGAGTTCGTGTTCCGCGAAGACCATCGCGCGCGCAGTGTAGACCGCGGCCGCGAGCTCGGCGAGGGTCCGACTGTCTGCGGGCGCCAGCCGCGCGAGCAGCACGACGAGTTGGAGTGCGATCTCGCTGTCTCCCTTCCCTGCTTGGACCTTGCCCTTCGCGCCCTCGCCGAGGCGCGCGCTGCGCGATTCACCCCCGGCGCGCAGCGGCGGCTGCGACCGCCCCGGGACCTCCAATCCCATCGCGATCTAATAGTTCAGCATCGGGCGGCTAAGGAGGCTGCACTGCTCGGAGGAGATGGCTACAGAGACGGCGACATATCGTCCAAATCAGCTGCTCGGCGGTCGCGCAGAATGCATGTTCGGGGCGCCGCTGGCTACGACGGCGCAAGGAGTCGCGCCCCCCGCCCTGAACAAGGGCCCTGAAGAATCGCGCTCTGGAGATAATCTGAAGCGTGTCCTCTGCGCCCGAAAATTTGCCGGCGTGCAGTGCGTGCGTTTATGGGGGTCAGTGCTGCGCGCGGGCTTTGTGTGCGGTGCATGTGTCGCATTTTTTCTGTCTTTGCACATCTTTCCGGGTCGAAAAACCGCATCCGCTTTTTATGCTTATTTTTTGGTTGTAAAAAGAAATGGGGTTGCTTTGTTCCCGCCCGTTGTTCCCCCCCTGTCTCGGCGTCGAGCTGCCCATCGCCCTGCCATTGCGTGGGCGCCTCGTCGCGCAGGGGGGCGACCGGGCCAGCGCGCGCTGCCTGCCAGCGATGCGGAGGGGCAGCGCGCGAGAGACATCGGGCTCGGACCCCCGTGACATCCAACAACAAAAGCTCTTCGAAAACGTCCTGGTCGGTGAGTCGTCCAGGGTTCAGCTAACATTTATATTTATATATATGTATATATATATACATATATATCAAGGGGGCGTAAGACCTGGGTACAAGGGACTCGGACATCTCCGACGAGGTCGCCAAAAAAATGGCGAGGCCGAGCCTGCATTTTGACGAGGCCTCCCGCTGCAGACATCCCACGAAACTCCTCCTCGTCAAAATCCGAGGCGCGGTCGTCAAAAAACGATGGCGAACCCGAGTCCTGGCAAACCCGGGTCGTACGCTCCCCCGAATATAGCAGAATCCAGGCCCTCCGCGGCCCTGGGGAATCCCGCTGGGGCCCCGCGAGCCCCAGGGGGGCCCGGCAAATTTGATGCCCCCCCTGAGGGATGGCCGCCCCGATCTCCAGTTACTTCCCGGGGCCCGAACGGCAGGCAGAGTTCCTGGGGGCGCCCGGGGGGGGGCCCTCGGCCCAACCGACAGCCTGTGAGCGAGGCGTTCGGTCTCTGACCCGGGGGCCCTCCAGAAGACCAGGATCTGCGTCGTCGCCATCGCCCGAATCGTCTCACCGCCTCGCGCGGGCGGGAGCGGCCCGAAACCCGCGTGGGCAGCGTTCTGAACATATCTCGAATGAATCGCGCGAAGCAGTCGGCGCGGCAAAGATAGAGACCACGCCCGGCCCAGCGGACAAACGAGAATATACGCATGCTCCGCATCTACGGTTGACCTCTGTCTCTGCCGACTGCACAACGTTAACCATCGGGCTGAGGTATCCGACGGCGCCCCTGAACATTCCTGGCGGGAATTCTGGGCGCGCCCGCGCCCGCCGCATGCAAATGTCCGCCACTTGTCCGTGTAGGTGCATCAGAGGTTCCTGCGTGTTCGGTCTCCGCGCGCATCCCGCCTCCGCGAGCTCGATGCCAAATGCGCGGTGGATTTCTTGCACCTACGACGCTGGGCCGAAAACTAAAAATGAGAAACGGAGCAGGCTCGCGGCCGCCGAGCGCGCGGGGGGGGGGGGGGGCGACGAACCCAGACCCAGCAAACACATGGGAGCGGCGATGCGGGAAAGCCAAGGCGACGCGCATCTTGGGTGAAGATGGCGCGCAAACGATGCGACGTACCATTTGGGCGACGAAAGCGCGGCTCGATGAACGTGGAAGGAGGAGACAATAACATGTAGTTCTAGACGACCTAGATCCAGGTCGTCGTCTAGAGCGACCCTGTATTGTTGCCATAGAAGCCACTCTGCAGTAAGCGTAGTTGCTAATGAGTCACGGTGTCGTATCGCAAGCGCACCTCGAAACAATGGAACAACCTGAAGGTCCCCCATCATCCCCCCATCTTCCGTCTTCAACGTTATGTCGCCTTCAAGAGTCACCCGGGTGATCGCGATCAACTTGAACCTCTGGATGCGCCGGACAACGATCTCAGGTTTCGCGTTGTTTGGGCTGCCTGCTCGAGCTCGCCCCATTTGCCGCATGCGAAAGCGTTGCCCAGGTCTTTGCAACGGATCGGCAAACGCTTTCCTGCCCGTCTGAGTCGCCAGCCGCGCATCTGATGGGCAAAAACTAAATCCCCTCTGCGTTCGCCTCGGACAGCCCCATGCTCAAACAAATTGTCGCGGTGGAAGGCCCTCCCCATTGGGTTCATGACGCGCGCCGCGCGTCGCTTTCTCGGCCCAGGAGCTGCGCTCGCGCGAAGTTGGGCGCCCAAGCCGTGGCGGCGCGCAATCGGAGCTGGTTGTCGACCGAATCTGGCGAAAGGCGGCCTCCATCAATTTGTTAAATACTGTCGTGTCTGGAACTCCGGCATCACGCCCCGAGCCATATCCGCCTGTCTCCATGAAATTCAAAGGCAGCAAGCGCATCGGCCAAATCTCCGTCGGCCCAACACGCGGGCGAACCGCCCGTCGCTTCGTCGCTCGCCTGGAATGCTTCCCTGTGCGCCAGAGATCGCCTTGTGCCGGGGCGCAATCTTCAGCGATTATGTAGCAGGGGCTCGGCTGGGGAAACTCCGCAAGTAGGTCCTGCGCCGTCTGTTCGCGCGCCCGCGCGCCTGCGGCACGGCCAGGTCATGCCCAGAACTGCGCCCTCTCAGCCTCCGTATTGCCTCCGCCAATTTCCGACGCTGCCGTGCTTCGTCTATTTGTACTGCAATGAATTAGCCTGTCTCTCTCGCCGAAGTCGTCGGCGTTGCAATCGTACATGTTGGGGTATTTCCACCGGTTGGTCTTCGCGTTCCCGAGGCGCCGCCGTGCCATCCGCGTCCATGCGCTGTTATCGCAGCGCTGCCTGTCGCAAGATTTGCTCGCGCTGCTCTTGTCCACCGATAGTTCTCGTCGTTCGCGATCTTGGGCCTCGACAAGCCTCTGCCCAACATCAATGACAATTAATATCAATGCGTTCGAGCGTCTCGCTGGGGCGTCCGCGAGCGAGCAATTCGCACCCAGCGTCTTCGTCTTCCAGCAGTTGTCCGTCAACAACGCGTAATAAATATGGTCAGAATTCCTCTCCGCGCAGCATCCATCGCGACGTCCATGTTCCGTCGTAGCCTTGGCGATTGTTCTCCTGGTGCTGGTGGGCAATCTTTCGCGCTTAGAATTTCCGTGTCGACTGGAATGATCTCGCGGGGGTCTACCTCTGCGCGCTGGGACGGGCGCGCCCAGTCTGTCAAGTGGCGCGCGCGTGAAAATCGACGCAACTCTGACCGCCAGACGTTCAAACAAGAACCGATTGCAAACACTTCGCACGGGCATTCAAAACCAACGTATGATGCTGCTCGTGAACTTTTCTCCGTCGCTGCCCTGCTCCGTCTCGCCCGTGCTCCGCGCTGTGGCCAGCGCCCGCGGCGTCCGCTTCGACTTCG